ACATTGATAATCCTCATAATGATTCTCATAAAGATCATGGATATGAATATTTGATGAAATTTCAAGCGCGGGATTTCGGTTTAGAAAACGTAAGTTTTCTTATTGATATAAAAACACTGTTTTATTCTGTAATATTTAAGGATATATTTATGAAAGTAACTTTTTCGATTTAGAAGCAAAAAATCCTAAAGATAAAAGCTGCGAAAGGACGAGAACTTAAAGAACGAGGAAAACACCCCAACAGATGTGGATAGAGGATCTAGTGTTTTATCGAATCTTGGAATGTAAGTTGTGAATTTATATATTTTTATTTTATTTTTTATTTATTAATGATTTAAAACAATAATAATATTTGTTAATATTGTTAATACGATTAAATAAATTTCAGGAAATTCTAAAACAGACGCAATTTAAAACAAGGGATGTCCAAATAAAACCTGCTGAAATCACTGAGATCACGCCGAAATCATTATCTAAACCCACTAAACCCGCTAAACTTACTAAACCCAAGAAAATATCGTTACCTAACGAGGAACCAATTGATTGCATGTTAGGAAAGAAACGATCAGTACCTATTGAATCGGTTGACGACATAGTGGGAAAGAAACCCATTGAATCGGTTGGTGACGTGGGAAAAAGGAAAAGAGCATCATTGTCAATTGATAAATCTTTTGATGATAAAGGTCATCACGAAGATATTGAAGAATTATCATTAATTCAAAAAGATAATGAGAACCTTGATAAAAGGAAGAATCGAGGTAAAGGGAAAAAAGTTAGGGTGAAAAATAAGGTATTATCTGATGACTATTTCACGCCTATTGTCGATGACGATGAGTATGTGGAGACTAAGCAAGTCTCAGAGAGACCTAAAAAACGTCCTCGTCGATCAATAAATTATGTTGAATTTTCCGATGAAGAAGACACTTAAATACTTATAGAGGTAAAAAAAATCATTTATATATTCTCTGTAATTATTGAATCGCAAAAAATTACAAAGTATTAATTGTCGATCTTTTTCTCTGTTTGTTCAAAAATTAAATCAAATTCAAATTTCTTAAATATTTGATTTGATTTGATTTTGAGGAACCCTAATCAATGCTATCAAAACCATTATTAATTATAAAAAAAAATTACTAGTTTATGTTTAGCCTAATCATCTTTTAGAATGCATTTTATATAATTTGCAAAATCAAATTATTTAAAATTTTAATTTTTACTTTTTAAAATAACATATACAAATGATATAAATATAAAGTTAATTACTTTAAGTTAAATTATATGTTAAGCCTAATTATCAAAGGTTAATTGAATTAGAATAGCCAAAAATTTTTTTTTGTAAATATTTTATAATATTTTAATTATGCTACAATTATTAATTTAATCTCATTTCTTTTTTATTTATCATAGTATATTACTATAATAAATAAATTTAATATCTCATTTTTTATTATTATTTAAAAATGAGTTTTTATAAAAAAAATTAGCAGTAAAAGTTACTTTAACTTATTTGGTAATTTAGAGATTATATTTATACTTTCAACTCCAATTATGATGATGATGAAACATCTTTTGATATAATCATTAAAGATAAATTAGTGAAGGATATAAATAATGAAATAGATTCCAAACAATCTTTTAAATAAGATGAATTTTTTCTTTTTTTAATTTAAATAATAACATTAAACATATGGATAATTACGTTAGTTCAGACAATGATTTTTCTGAAATGGATTCTTTTAATGAATAGATAATAAATAATGATGATAAATAAAAAAATGCATAATCTTTTTATTAATAATAATAATAAAGACTTTTTTATTATAGATATATGTTAAAACTGAAGATTCTAATAATAAAAATAATATTACAAAAATTATAATCAAGAAATTGACAAAGTATTTTATTCAACTTATATAATTATAACTTTAGATTCAAAAGCTTAAATATTAAAACTCAAGTATTCAAAAATTATGGTAATTAATTGAAAATTAGGAAGTTAATTCAGAATCTGTTAAAGAAGTAAAGGCTAAACCTAGTAAATTTAGTATTTATAAAACATATTTTAATTTGGATCAAACCTTTTATGAAACAGTAAAAATATCAAAAGGATAATCTATGATTATAATTAGAAAATGTATCTTTTACAATTTAGATTTTTATATTATATCTCGTGAAAAGTTATGTTATTTATATTCTTAGAGTTTAATTGAAAAAGATCTTTTAATTTCTTATATAGCATAATTTTTATATTCAGAAATACAAAAAAGTTGAAAATCATTTATTTTTAAAAAATTTCAAAAAAAAAAGCTTTAAATTATTTATATTATATTTGTCAAATTTATTTTAATAAATGGTAGACATATTTACATTCCTTCTGAACAAGGAAAAAGGCATATATCTTATATAAAAATTAACTTTTACAATAATAATACTAAAAATAATTTGAAATTAATTAGTAAATGGATTTTAAATATTACATAATCATAAGATTCATTATTACAAGCCTGACTTTTATCTAAATTATTTTATTCATTAACAATAAATAATAAAAATATTTTAAATATTTCTTTAAAAATGATTTTATTACCAAACTTATTAATAATCAAATCAGCACTTAAAATTGAAAAAGCTAATAACTTACAATAAACAAAAATCTTCAAAAATTATCACAAAAAAGTTATGAATTTAGTCAATTTTTAGGTAAAAAATTATTGTTTGCAAAATGAGATATGATAAAAAAGGAAATACTTTCTAATCTATTAATTTTATTAGAATATTATAATGTTTTTTCAAAAATAATCAAGTTTTTTTGGGGATTTATTAAACTATTATTAAAAAAATGATATGAGAATGCATAAGCTCAACAAAAAAGAAGAGCAATTCAAAAAGAAGTTAAATATATATATCAAAATTTAAATATATTTAAATCATTTTATATAGTATTCTTCTTAAATTTTGTGATTTTGACTATAACATTTAAATATACACATTTTTAATTTACTTATTTATTAGCAAGTTTTTGTTGATGACTTTCATTTTTAACTTCATTATAAGCTATTTTGCAAGCCATTCATATTATTGCATATATATAAAAATATGAAAATATATTAGAATTAAAAAAAATGAAAGAAATTTTGTCAAAAGAAAAATTAATTTATGGATCTCACATTTGAAATTTTGCTATAATTGATAATATTAATTTTATGGCAAAATCATTTTGATGGAAAAATTTATATGATTCACTTTATAATACTTCATATACAACTTTATGAATGTTTTTTCATTTATATTATTACTTTCTCTTTATACAAAAACTCCAAAAAATTCATTAATAATACCTAATAACCCATGAAATTTAATTCATATTCAATAGAAACTTTAGAATTATTTATAGTAGTTTTTCAAAAATTTTATAATGTGAACATATTGATGGATATTTATATTTTTTAATAATTTTGATGATAGTAATATTTATTAAAAAATTTTATCATATATTTCAAAGAATGCTATAATATTTTACCTTTTAATATAATTATATTAGAAGCTAACGAAAAGCCTAATGATGATGAAGGCATATATAAATTATATGAAATGTATCTTAAAGATATTGATCTTAAACCTATATTAGCTTTTAATAATTAGAATTTTAAAAATGTCTTGATATTGCAGTTTATAAATTAATTTTTAGACGTATTATTAATTATAAAACAATAGCAAATTTATATGCAAGGTTTTTGTTAAGATCTTGGCATTTAAATAAAGATATACACTAATCAAAATAATTTTTTTTTTAAAAAATGTAATACTGTCAGTACTTTATTAATAAATTGTATGATAATAACTAGATTAAAAATTAAAAAAGTAAATACAAAAAATAAAGACTAACTATCCCTCGTAATTCTATTTCAAACCCGTTTGGATCAACCAATCACCAAAATTTTGAAAGTGATTATTGACCAATGTTTTGATTCTTTTAGGATCATAGACAAGTTCTTTAGAGTCAGAAGGTGTAGTAATCAATAATCTATCTAAAACAATTTGCTTCTTATTTCATCCAAGGGCTAATTGAATCATTCTTCTAGGATTTGATACATCTTTGATGTATAAAATGTTTAATTTTATTAGTATTGATATTGTTTTCTTCTATTTTAGAGAGAGCTTTTATATTTTTATATAGATTTAAGATATATTTTCTAGTAATATGATCTGGGATAGATTGTTTTGGAAGATCAGTTTTATCTATTTTATCATATAATGTAATAATATCTTCATCCTATTCTACATCGATAGGCCAAGTTTTAGACTATACTCTTTATTACGAAACTTGAGAAGAATTCTGTTGAGTTTTTTAAGTTGATTATAATGAGTAACCAATTCTTTAAGTTTAGATGCGTTATCATAGGAGGTTACTTATTTATACGGAATGGTACAAGAGGCAACGTGGGTGATATTATTACAAATAGCTTCCCATAGTTTATTTATATTTGCTCTATTCAAGGGTAGATCAAGAAGCAAATTCAAAGAATTGTTTTGAAAATAAAGATCAGTTTGTTCTGAAAATTTAATCTATTTCTTATGATTCATAAGGAAAAAGGTCAAAACTTTTCTCTTAGTATTGTTTCTTCTAGCTTGAGCATTTTTTCCAATTTTGACATCAGCAAAATGGGCGATCAGCATTTTATGGTCAGATTTGTAAAGAAAGGACTTTACAATTCCACAGTAAATGAAATCAGAAATAAATTCTGATGAGACAAAGATTCTATCTAATCGTTTAGATGTGGTTTTATGTTTATCACTATAAAAAGAAATAAAGATTGGTTTTGGTCTATTATTGCTAATATCATGTAAATCTAAATTTTTTTTTGTAAAAGGTCTTTAATGATATCAAATTTCTAGCTAGAAGATTTTCCAGAGTATAGTAGTTTGTTAAAATCATTGATATCAGCTAGTGTTCCGCACAGATCGGATCGGATCAGATTTGGGCAAAATCCGATTCAATCTGAATCCGAAAAATCCAAATCTGATTCGATCTGAATCTGACAAATCCGAATTCAACAAATCTGAATCAGAATCCGTATCTGAATCTGACAAATCTGAATCCGTATTCGTATCCGACGGATCAAAAAATTTTTTTAACAAAAATCTGCCTCTGACGTTCAGAACGGCGTTTTAATGTTAAAAAACAACAAAATTGTTATTTTTTTAACAAAAATCTGCCTCCGACGTTCGGAACGGCGTTTTAATGTTAAAAAACAACAAAATTGTTGTTTTTTAACAAAAATCTGCCTCTGACGTTCGGAACGGCGTTTTATTATTAAAAATTAATTTTTTTAATAATAAATGCCACGTCCGACTTTCGGGGCGGCATGTTAATATAAAAAATTAATAAGAATTAATTTTTTTATTAATAAATGCCGCATCCATCTTTCGGGGCGGCATTTTTATATAAAAAATTAATTTTTCATAATTTTTTATTAATAATTGTTGCATCTGACTTTCGGGGTGGCATTTTAATATAAAAAATTAATAAAAATTAAATTTTCTATTATTAAATGCCGCATACGACTTTCGGGGTGGCATTTTGATATAAAAAATTAACAAAAATTAATTTTTTTATTAATAAATGCCGCATCCGACTTTCGGGATAGCATTTTATTATTAAAAATTAATTTATTTAATAATAAATGCTACGTCCAGCATTTTATTATTAAAAATTAAATTTTTTTAATAATAAATGCCGCGTTCAACTTCAGGGCGGCATTTTTTATTTCAAATCTAACAAATCGGATCTGAATCTAAATCTGAATCCGATCCGGATCCAACAGGTCGAATCAAATCAAAATTTGGATCTGAATCTGATTCGAATCTGATAAATCCGATTCAATCCGATCTGTCGGATCTGGATCATATTCGGATTGAATCAGATTTTTTGCAGAACACTAATATCAGCGTTAAAGTTTTCCATGAAGATCATATGATAATATTCTCTAATAGAGTCATCAATAATATGTAGAAGTTGTTTTTGTAATACTTGTCTATTATGTTTATCTTGAGAATTACTGGGAGATGCGTGAATATAAAAGTTGAAGACTCTAAGTTTAGCATGTCCATTCAAAAATAGGTCAATATAAATGAATCTATTGTTATCCAAAACAGATTTTGTAATAAAGCGGCTCCATTTTTTGCTGATAAGAAGTCCCACCCCAGCAGTAGTAGAATCATTAGAATCTGGTTTACTCCAAAAGAAGACAAAATCAGGATCATTTTTATATTTAAAGAACATTGATGATTTATGATGTGTTTCGATAAGGCTTACAAAATCAGTTTTCTTTATTCTAAATGTATCAATGATTTGATTGCATTTGATATCATTATTCATTCTATGCACATTATAAGTAGCAAAATTAAAGACGTTTCCTGATATAATATCAAGAATGTCTGTATTGGGTAAGTGTTCAATATTATTGTCAATAGTATTAATTTCTATATTTCTATTTGTGTGAAAGGTATTTAATTGTGTGTTGAGAAAATTGTCTACATCCATTTGATCATGAGAGTCAATTTGGTTATTAGTAGAATTGATCTTAATCTGTGATTCGCTTGGTGTGAAGGTTTTATAATTGTTAAGCCAGTGACCCATTCAGGTTAGCAAAAGAGAGCATTTGAGAATCTAGTTTTGCTAAATATTCTTTAATAGAATCCAGTTCTTGTAATTTGTTAAGGATCAAAGATAATGATTAGCATCATCCTTAAGATCAGTTGAAGGTAAAATACGATATTTTTCTTTTTGTGAAATACTGAAAGGTGATAGGTCAGCAAAATTATTATTTACATCTCTATGAGCTGCAGACTGTTATGAACTTGAAGTATATGAATTATTATAAGAGAAAGTCTTAGGTTGTGTGGTGATTGATGAGAAAGTATATTGTAGTGTATAGGATCTATTAAGCCTACAAGATCTACCATCTAAAAGGTATTCATTATGTGATATTCTAATTTTACATGTGTTAAGCATATCTTCTTCAGTAGCAAAAGCAAAATAAGCAATATGACCATGAAAGTAACAAGTTCTTTCATTATAAGGTCACATGGTTCTTATAGCTTCAGATGCTGTAGTATATTCTTTAAATCCCTTAAAATCAGCCACAAATCAGTTTCAGAGTTTAAGTTTATCAACAGGTATATCAATATGAGTACATCTAATACAATATTATAGATATTGACTGCTCAGACTTCTTTTAATTGTTAAGGTTTATGAATTTTGGAAAAATTAATAATGATATCTCTATTGAAAGGATTTCTATAATTATATTTTTCTTCAAGAGATACAACATTTCCATAGTATGTAATAGCACATTTGATATTATCGAGATTAATCAAATATAGAACTTCTTTAAGTTTGTAGATAGGGATTGAAGATTCAAAATGTTTTACTGGGTGATCATCAATAATATTGAAGTGAGCTTGTGGATACTGTTCTAAAGCTTTATCTATGGCTTCTAATAAAAGTTTTCTATTATTGAAATGAAATATTATGTATGTATTATCATTAAGGAATTCCCAATCTAAGTCAACAAATCCTGGAAGAGGAGTTAATAACGAATTTATCAGTTCTAATTTCTCATATCTAGTATCTCCTGATGAAAGCATAATCATTACAGATGCCTTGATAAATTTTGTAGGAGAAGTGCAAGAGATTTTAGGTTTGTTGATATGGTGACGAAGATCTTGAGAATATAATTAAGGTTTAATAGTATTCAAACCATTTCTATAGTAATTATGTCGAGAGTCTATAGCAATTTCTTTGGCGATTGAAATCATGTGACTTTCATCAGCAAATGAAGAATCACATGTATCTTGTATAACAGCAGATATAAAAGACGTGTTATTATTATTATTAAGTGGATATGTATTAAGATTGTTATTAATAACAGACACGTCATTTTTATGTAAAATTTGTTGTTTATGTAATTGTTGTTTATAAAACGCGTTTATTTTCACAGCAGTTGAAGGTCTTGGTGAAGAATTAGCAAGAGATGAAGAAGTTTATTATGAAATTGATCAACAGAAGAATCCATATCATCTTCATCCAAAGTATCCATATCGGGTGAAACAGAGTCAGCAATAGAAATGATATCATCATTGTCGACTATATTTTTAATAGTATTATTGATAAGATATTTGATGTTATTTATAGCAAAATTCTCTCTTCCAGTTTTGTGTATAGTAAAAGCACTAGAACACACCAATTGTTCTATGAAGTTTTGTGAAAATTCTATCTTGTCAGGAAAGAGTATGTCATATTCAAAATTTAATTTTCTAACAAGCCAAAAAATTTCAGGTATTTGAAAGCTAAGATATTTAGCGATCTCTATATCTCTTTTGACAAGGTGAGGAGCAATAAAAGATAAAGTTTTTAAGAATTTTTGGGTGTCTTAGAAAACCATTCCACGAAAGTTTTCTAAAGTATTTGTATTTATTTTTGTTTAAAGGAAATAAAATTAAGTTTTTAAAAGTTTATTTGTATATATTTAATAAAGAAAAAATAATAAAAAGCAAAATATTTAAAGTTTTTGTTTTTTATAAATTTTTGGTTTGGAGCGAAGAGAGAAAGAGTTTTTTTACATATTAGTCAAAATAAT